ATTAAATATTTCTCATGTACAGACATCGTCCAGTTACAATTATATATATATATATATATATATATATATATATATGTTTTTTTTTTTAATGGGTGATAATGAAATGGTAACCCCACCTGCGCTATCGGTATACGCTGGCGGGGCACGAGTGAGGGATGATAGGTAACAATGAAAGCAGGCCAGTTAGCCCATCGTGACGAATTCCACTAGAATTAACCACAATGGTTTCCAGGGGGAACCGCGTGGAGGTCGAGCTGACAGGGTGTATTGCTAGCAATAAGTCAGTTAGACCCCATTGTCAACAATCCCTTTCCCCCAAATTTTATTATATTAGTGAGATGTTTCAATTAAATATATTATATAAATATAAATAATTAAACATAGGCATGTCACAAATCATATAATAACCTGAATTAAGTATTCTCTTAGCTCGGTTGAATATATTTTTGTATTCTCATTTTTTTTTTTAATAATATATCTATTGTAAGACGAGAAACATAAAAATTATTAAAATAATTATGATCAATTCAATACATATGTGTTGATGTCTTAAAAAATAATTCACTTTTTCTGTCAAACAAAAAAAAAAATATGCAAAACTTGATAAGAGATTACGTCGTCAAAATAATGGCGATTTTTTTTTATACAACTTAGAATGGGAAACAAGCTGACGGCCCATATGATGAAAAGTGGTAACCGTCTACTGAATCCTCCCACTTGGGGCGGGGGGGGGGGGGTTGCCAGAAGTTACCACGCTTGACATGCGAATTGGCAACCGCAGTCAGGCTTTAGAGATGTTTTAAATGGGACGCTGCTGCCCATTTTTCGCCCTCCCTTAGTCGGCTTTTATATATTATGCCGGGACCAAACGGCCAAAAAATATATAAATTATATATTAATCTCTTACTTATTAAAATCTTAGGATCGCTGTGATTGTATTTGCATGGTGTGAGTGGATGTGTGTGCTTTAATGTGTCATAATGGTAACAGGAGGTAGTGTATTCATGCAAACTCTGTTGTATTTATGCATAAAATAAATAAAGCAGTACTGAATATACTCGTACTGTAACATACATGCATTGGTAAATATTTGTATTTGAGTGTATTGTCATTGAATGTCTGCATTGTACAAATACAAATACAAATACAAGTAACTTTATTTTGTTTGAAAAATGGTATAAAAGATGGAATATAATATTTAAATATTGTTCACATTTTTTTCCTGTAGTTTTCCTTTTTTGCTCAAACCAATTTTGTACTTTTATAATAATAAGAAACCTGTTGTTAGCCTTAATATTTTAAATACTATTATGTAAATCTTAACTGTAACGCCGTTGGTTTCTAATAAAAAAATAAACGAAAAAAAAAATTATAAAACAATATTAGTGTGATATTTGTGGGTACATCACTAATGTGTGATATAATTTAAAATGTGTACCTACCTGTTTGCGCCACAATTAGTTTGAATGCACATCTCGTGTAATAGACAAGGACAGACATACTTCACGATCTAGGGCCGAAAGGAGCCGAGTACACCCGCGCCGCTGCTGGGAAAAAAGATGGCGGTTCTGATCGTTTTCCCGCTCGTGTCTGAGAATCGCCGCTCGCACATAATTACGTGTCATAATAATTAAATCACTAAAGCTTAATATAAACTATCAAATTATCAAGGTGTATGTCGGTGGTGTGATATTCAAGGTGTATATACACTAATTTCGCCGCGCGTGTTGTGTGATGACCCGTTAATCGGTTCCTGCAGCAGCCGCCATAGCAGAATCCAAGTACGCTCGTAACTCCTTACTTTGCCCGAATCGTGATCTGTAATGACAGTCTAGTAGAAGGAAACTATCTCTCGGGATACAAATCCCCAGGGAACCGCTTTAACACTACCCCTCAACCAGGATTGTTTTTTTTTTAATGTTAAATTTTAAATTAGCCACGATGGTTTCCAGGGGGAACCACGTGAGGTCGACCTGACAGGGTATATTGCTAGTAATGAGGCTATTTAACCCCATTACTAACAATCCCATTCCCCCCAACCAGGATTGTTAATCTGTTGCTGACTTTAAAACGTATAGCTTGTTAAATGTATAATTTTAAACAATATCACTAAACAGTATATTTAGTATTTATATATAAAATAAGACATGAGAACATAATGGAATAATAAATATATTTATATTGAACTAATTATATAGCTTTTATACAAATCCTGTAAATACCTTGGGGGGAAAGGGATTGTTAATAATGGAGACTGAGAATCCCATTGCCAGCAATATACCCAACCAGGTCGACCTCATCGCGGTTCTCCCTAAAAACTATCATGGTTAATTCCTGATGAATTCATCATGATGAGCTAACTGGCCTGTTTTAATTCTCGTCTATCACCCTTCACTGGTGCTCCGCCAGGGTATCCCGTTAGCGCAGGCGAGGTTACCATACCATTTTCACCCATCAAAAACAAATCCTGTAAATACCTTCTCCTTTCGGGTTGTCAAAGTTGAAGAAATCCCTTCAAGGAATAAGTCCACCTATATACTTTTTTATTTTCGTCCAGTATTTTTTTTTAATTAATAAAAAATATTAATAGTTAAAATAATAACATTTAATATATATATATATAGACCTATACTGTAACAACATGTAATAGCAATAAATGATTGAATTGAATTGAATTAAATTGAATTATCAAAATGTAACAATTTATTTATTGAATGATAGTTATATTTTATTTTAAAAACGTTCATAAATAAAAAAAAATTACATATTTATAACAAATAGTATCACTAATGATACACTTAAAAATATTTCATATTTATTATTTTGTCTTTCCAATTTTATTATAATTTACTTAATACTTTTGCAAAATTTAATGCTTTAGTAGATTTTATTGTTACAATGATATAATTACCTAAAAATTGCTATTGGTAATAAAATTTTTAATTTAATTTCCACAAATATTAGGAATTTTTATAAAGTCAGAATACCCTTTTCTTTGACAAACGTAGGTCCGCGACATTCGCAGGTATTTCCTAGGTTTATTAGTACCCTGAAACGTATTTAATTATTAAAAAAAAGTAATTTATAATAATATAAATAATGATAAGTTTATTTTATCTCCACAAACTACAGAATGTGTACAGATTAATTACTTTTACACAAAATTATAAGTATAAGCGCCTGATAAATTTTTATTAGCAATTGTTCTGTTCCTCATATTTGAGACATTCAATGGAACATTTTTTGTGTGGTCACAGGTAACGCAGTTTTCTTCTAGTAAATTAAATGACCTATTAAAAAAAATGGACACAAATGGGTTTGAAGTGCACAAAAAGTGAGTACGTGTGCGTGTGTGTTTATGTGCGTGTGTGTGTGTGTGTGTGTGCGTGCTGCGTGTGCGTGTGTTTGTGGATTAATCTCATTTTTACTAATATAAAAATTATAACGAGATAATATCTGTACATGGGAGATATTTAATAATAAAAACCAAAACAATGTTTTTTTAGAAATTTTATGTATCAGTCTGTTTGTGTGTTTGTTCCGGGGTCAATGTTACATTACATTTTTATGAAATCTATATATTACAGAAGAGAAAGTCAATAAAACAGACTACTTCTGGATAGCGTATTGAAATAAAACATGCATCAATTTTTAAGGCAAATACAACAGTGGATACGTCAGTCGATTTGGTGCAGCAGTTTTTGCGGGATGCCGGAACAAACATGCAAACAGGCGGATAGAAAAACAAAATGTCTAAAAAACATTATTTTGCCATTGTACTTTACAACATAATACAACATAGTATACAAACGTGCAAACAATGAGATCTTTTCTCTTCTCAGTATTAGTATAAATATGCACAAAGCGTGTGAGATTTTTAATGAGTTACAATTGATTAGTAACCCGGCCTACGCCCACATAATACCTCATTACTCAGTAGCAGTTAGACTCAGGAAAACCTTATCTTACTTTCTTATCTTATATACCTATAAAGATTAATATACTGCAGGAAAAACTATAATTAAATAATGCATACATTTGTATTTGACGTCATAAAAAATTTTTGAAAAGCATTTAATAATAGGTACAGACATATCGTTAACTAAATAGTTTTTTCAAATATTCTAATTAAGTAAATACAAGAAAATTACTCGGTCGTTATTGGTACTTTACCAAAGTGAGACTTTGTACAAAAGTCGATTGCTTGAGTACCTCTGTTCCATTTATATTTCTACCGTGAAACAGTTGTGTTTGCATGGCTGTGTTTCGGTTTGAAGGGTGAGATATGGCGTGAATTTACAGGGTACAGAGGAATAACATCCGAGTCCTCAGGAATGGCAACGCATGGGGGGTATCATGGGCGAAACAGTATACTCTGTTATGTTCATGGTACGGCTCATGTCTATAGGCGATGGTTACCACTTTCCATCAGGTGGGCTGTCAGCTTGTTTGCCATTCTAAGTTGTATAAAAAATAAACTTAATATTCTATATTTAATATCTATAACTGCTTAGCAGTATTGGCTAATGCGTAGGACCCATAATTAAAATGTCATTATCTCTAATTATGCATTGCACTCCAATGTCTTAATGTCATCTTTAATGTATCTGATTTGATAGTTAAGAGATCTGGGGTTTTTGGGTCGTTGCACTAAGTCGAAAGGTTCAACTTGGATCTAGGTGCTCCCGCCCATAAGAGACAGCAATACTCCATATGGGGCCGGATTTGCGATTTGTAGATTAAAATAATTAATTTTAATGTTAATGCATCCGCTGCACAATCTAATTAATTTTCATTAAAATTCCGAACATTTTGGAAGTATTTATTTTTGGGAGGAGACATGTCATAATTAGTAAAATGTAATAATATATAATGACAAAAAATAATTAACACTCTTGCTAATTACCTACTAATTATATGAGTCATCACTAATGCTTGGCGTTTTGTTGCACTTTAAAGTGTTTCAGTTTAAGCTTGAGTCTTCACAAGCGTACGGTACGTCGACTCGTACACACGTGTACCAGTTATACGAACCTTGCCCCCTGCGGTTACACACTTCGACGTTGATATTACGTACTAGTGTTTTGTAAAGTTTTACGTTCATTTATATTGTGAATTGAATATTGCCATTGTTGTGATTATTTGTTCACAGAATGTTTTCAAGATTTAAACAAATGGTGAGTTCAAATATAATTTTATTATATTTTACAATTTTACTGAATTGTTTTAAATTTTGCATGAAATTGTTAGTACATTTTTTTTACAGTTGTTAGTCACAGTCTGTAAATTCTATCTGTCTTTAAGTTTGCGAGTTTCGAAATAAAACGAATAATGATTAACCCAATATCTTTACTATATAAATATATTCAATAGTTAGTGTATATAAAAACTTTATATGGATTATATATTAAAATTATCTTTTGATTATCGAATCACTTGGTTTTTACAAGCGCAGTGCAAAACTTGCAGATTTATATAAATCTACATGTACATTAATTCAGATCTATATAACTAGAATGCAAAGAGTATATAACCAAAGGAGTCCACACTTCATATAAGCTGCGTAAAAGGACTTGAGGGTCAGGAATATCTAACCAATCTGTATAAAAATATTCTCTTTTTCTTCCTTATGTTAGCCAGCCTGATATTCAAAATGGAAACGAATACTTATATAAAAAAATAATAAAAATATTTGAAATAAATAAATAAAATACATACTAAAGTATTACTTTCAGATTGGTGTCATGAAAGTTTTATCAAAATCGGTTCAGTAGTGTTGTTTTTTAAATTAATATAACTCTTTTACTATTATACTTATGCTTAATGCATGTTTTCAGTTTTGCCACGACCAATGTCGGTTATTTTTTTGTTTATAGTGCAAAATTTATTACTTTGGTTATATTTTTAAAGATAATTTCTTTTATTATCCACAGTCTCGCTCGGTGAGGGGTAAGAGGGATCTCTTATCCCATAATAGTGTTCGTGGGGAGAATACTCTCACAACTGTCTCAACATCAGACTCCTCTAGTGAGCAGAATGTCGAAATAGAAGGTATCTTGAAATATATAATTATTTACCAGAGGGAGACTTTGTACAAAAGTCGATTGCTTGGTTACCTCTGTCCCATTCGTGTTTCAACCGTGAAGCAGTTGTGTTTGCATGGCTGTGTTTCGGTATATGGCGTGAATTTACTGGGTACAGAGGAATAACACCTGAGTCCTCAGGAATGGCAACGCATGGGGGGTATCATGGGCGAAACAGTATACTCTGTTATGTTCATGGTACCGCTCATGTCTATAAGCGACGGTTACCACTTTCCATCAAGTGGACCGTTAGCTTGTTTGCCATTCTAAGTTGTATAAAAAAAATTATATAGTATTTTAATTTTCCAAAATACGAACCAATTTTGACTTGACTTGATAAGTTAAAACTTAGTTACAGAAATAATCAAAATTATATGAGCCATAATCGATAGGGCGTATAAATACTAACGTTAGTTAAATATCCATCAAAGTGGCTTCACTATCAATAACAATACAGACAATTGATATAAGTCTATAAGACTTGCGCATTAATAGCCTTTACGCGAGATTAGTTATTTTAGTCAGATATTACATTGTTTACGCTATACGTTAATATTTAATATTAAAATTTACACACACACAGAGAGAGAGAGACACACACGCACATTCTCCAACATATGCACATCTGCTCTTGGACTTTATCTTTATTAGAATAATTAGAATTATCAAATAATGTACAGTTAACGTTAGATAGTTTATTTTGTTATTTACATTATATATTATTTACTTACATTGTTACAACTTGTCTGGTGGTGGTAGCCTGATGGATGTAGCACAGGTTTAACTAGTTCAGCTATCAGTCTCCACAATACACAGAATATTCTTAATAGTAATAGTAATAAATTTATTTGCATTAAATAGGTTAGGTATCGGTGGTCTTATATTACATAAAGTCTCGTGCCTATTTAGCCATTACAGTATAGTATGCAAATGTCCCATTTTGATAGAAACTGATTAATTTATGCATCGACAACTATATTAGATATTTATCTATTCTTTTTTGAAAAATTCGTCAACAGAGTAACTTAAGTGAATAGTTTGTTCATACAGAATTCTGGAGAATGAATAAATATTTTGAAATTGGAATTTTGGAAATTTTATATAATATTTTTTTTGGAAAAAAAGTTATATTTATGACTGATATCAGTTTCGAATCCATCAAACATATAAAGATTCGAATCAGTTAATTTCAACATCATATAAATCTTAAAATAACAATAAACAACACGTGATAGAAAATGGCAATCGTTTGCTTCATCATGAACATCAAAGATGCAATTCATTCCTCTACTGAGGTACTTTGCATCCTTATCTTTTAATTCCTTCCTTTCTTCAAACTATGCAAACGACTGCTTGGTGGCGAAACACGAATGAAACTGACTTTTTATAACATCACATTCTAATATATAGTATGTAAATAATACATTCATAAATTTTGGGGGAAGTGCTCTAGTTACATATAAAAAATAATATGGGATGAACTATTATAACCTTTTTTATAAATGGACTAAAATTGTGCGTCAGTATATTAAAACTTATTTTTCTTTTCAGATAAATCGTCGTCGTTAGTGGTTTATCTTTAGAGCAATTAGACGAAAGTCACGCTGCACAATGTTCATACCCCAACTGCGATGAAGTTCTATCTAGATTCTCAGAATACAGTATTCGTATGGAACCCTTACAGGTAAGAAACTACAAAAAAGTTCAACGTGCATCCACAAGAATATTAAGTTTTAGGTCAATATAAAATTGTTTGAGGCTTTTTATCGATTTTAACATTGGTTGTAACACTTGGTTTTTTAATATTTTATTGAGTGTAACAGATGTCAATGTAACAAATAATATATACATATTAATATATTATGTAAGGCAAATTATAGAAGCTTGAATAACATTTGAAGAAGATGTACTTCAAGGGTCCATACTTGGTTCACTCCTTTGTTATGTTGCATTTGCCTAGCTTTCAATAAATAATATTTACGTTAACGGAATAACGTTACGGAAGCACTCACGTGCGTGCCGCATTAAATGTGATTCACAAATTCAGCAAAAACTGTTACAAGTAGGGATATAACTCTCCTAAATACATTAATGCAGCTCTGCTAATCCATATATTTCTCCTTTTAGTGTCGCGGTCCTTACGTTTGTCCATCGTGCGGCGGTGTATGGTGCACGAAGTGTTCCATTCGCTTACGTCGATGTGCACGGTACCGTAGTTTATTCCTAAGACCAGCTACACCATGCCTAGCACTACAGCTACTGATCGACGACCTAATGCTGCCATATCGGAATTACAGGTACGATTTTATTAATAATAATCATAAGTGTCGCACAATCGGACCTTTCGTTGATCAATGCTAGGACACCCTGTTAGAACTAGGCAACAAACATCTGGAATCAGAACGCAATACGGATACCCAGACCCGAGTCAATTTAGAATAAGTCGTTTTCTGAATTAGCCTGTCATTGGCCGTTATTACAAAATGCTTATCAACTGCATTCATAAATTCTAAATACTATGTAACATTGAAAAATTTTTTTTCTTACAACAATAGCGGGATCTGAGAAGATGAAAATATATTAATATTCTAAACATTAGAATTATTATAAACTAGTTTTATCCCATAGTTTCGCCTGCGCGAATATCTGTCTTCTATTTCCGTGGAACTTTCTAAGACCCTTTCTTAGTGAATGCTTGTCACGTAACAAAAATATTCGTTTCAGACTTCTAATAGTTTTAGCGAGGCGTTGATAAACGTGCATGAGAAATGATAAGTAGCACATCACTGGTTTTATGAAATACCGTTTACAATGTTTAATGGAAGTATTTCGATTCTGGGTTATTGACGACCAATAATCATGGCAACGATTATAATATAAATTAGTCATGATATATCGTTAGAGCGGGACAATAACTATATATCTTTCTCACTCCTCAACAAACACCTTTTGCTAACAAAGAGCCGGACGTTTTGTTTTACAAATATTTTTTTACTAAAACCAATTATTGGCTTGGCTACAAAATCTTAACGCCATAAGCGTACGAAAACTAACTATGAGGAGGCGCCATTTAGCGCGCTGTGTAGCTACCTCGCGTAGTGTGGATCGTAAAATTCGTTCATCGCTGTGGTGCATTTCATCTGATTCAACTGTTTTCGTTTTGGCCAACCTGTCCCTTCTACCGTGTATATTGAAATATATATATATATATGCTAAACACTAAAAAACTGTATATAACAATGCGTATATAGTTTTCATTAATTTTTTAACCCTTTTGTCCCCAGCCAAGGCTGTACAGACCTGCTCACAGCTACCACCAGAGCGAAGCACGAGGAAGACTGTCAGTTCAATACTGTGATATGTCCTGTAAAATCACATTGCCATCCTATTCCGTTCAAAGAATTATCAGCACATATTGAATCAACACACGACATAATTGCCATATATTCACAGAAGATAAAAATACCTATCGAAAACTTTTGTGCTATATTCAAGAAACCCGATCACCGTAGAACTAAATACAGATATATACTTCTCAATCATAAAAGCGCTTTTATCATAAAAATCATTTTTAACAAACATCATTTCCAAATTGACGTTATGAGAAAAAAGCTAGTATGCATAGCAGAACAGAAATCAGAATTGAATAATAGTCAATTCTGCGCACTAATAAAGCTGTACACCCAATCATCCGTCATCAAGACAATTAATTTTATAGAAAACAACACGTATGGTAGAAAAGTCGATGTGCAATGGAACAATTTTCTATTGGAATTAAAAAAAACAATGTCTATAACAATTCGTGTAAGAATCACAAATTCGGACACAGAATCTACGAGAAGGGATTACGCCGGATCATAAGATGTTTTATGATATTTAAGAAGCTGTTGGAGTAAATTGTGATATTGCAAATAAGACTGAATTTACAAAGACAACTAGTACTGTCTGATAATCTAGAGAGGTTGAAAGGTCGATGGACCGCTTTTTAGGTCGAAGGGTCCGAATTTGTCGTCAAAATGTATTAAAATTAAAAGGCAAATTAGTCATCAAAATTATGTCCGTCTTCTTATCGGTCTTTTGTCTAAGTCCTTTTGTTTTGTCCCAAGCTGTCAGTTTTAATTGTCGAATGTCTTAGCGGCCAGCAATAAAACCGGTTAAAGAGGCCGCAACAGAGGTCTTATCACTTGCAGTACTATGTTGTGACTGATGTAGTCTTAAGTAGCTCCTAATTTACATTTAAGCATTTCACTGGAAGAACAAATATAAGTTGCAATATATTATTATTATCTGTATTTTATTTTATACTTTATAGCTTATTCCTAGCATAAAAGCAAACATTTAGAAGATTTCTTCAATAGTACTCCAGTATAATTTTCGTTATCCTTATATTAGCCGTTACCTGTCTACTGCTGAACATTTTTCTCTGTCATTAACTGCCATAAGAGACGGTCCCGAGCCACTGCATGCAATTCTTTTAAGATTGTCGCTCCATCTAGTGTGATGTCGTCCTCTATTGCATTTTCCTATATGGAGTCGCCACCCGAGAATCTTTCTTCCCCATTAGTTATCAGGAATTCGAGTTATGTGCCAGCCCATTGCCTTACCATAAACTGGTAGTAGAATTTTGTAACAATTGGATAATATTATAACATTGGACATTTATATGCAGTTTATTGATAAACAAACTGACGGCCCACTGGCTGGAGATTGATTGGCATTTTTTATAAACATGAACACAGTAATCATTTGTCTTAAAAATAATAGCGATCGTAAGTCAAAGGTTTGTTGGTTTTTAATAAACTAAAATACTACTCGACCAGTTTTACAAATTCTTTCACTCACGAGTATAGAGAACTACATTATCAGCAAGTAACATAGTTCCCAAGTCTAAGTCAATCATAATTAAATTGTATTCCATAAAAAAATCGTTGTGGCTAAACCAGTTGTTTTGATTAAAAACTAAACAAGCAAATAAATACTTTCAGATAAAAAAAAAATAATTTTCCAAATCGGTTTTACAACTGACGAAGTTATGAGGTAACAAATATTAAAAAAAAGAAAATACGTGGGACACTCAGAAAGTTTTGCCACACTAAAAAAAAATGTTCTTTAGGTAAATATATTTTTATTACATGTTTTCAAAGTACTCTCTACCAACCTTTATACAAAGTTTCATGCGTCTGAACCATTTTTAGAAACACTTTTTCCAGTCCGCCACAGACACCTCGTTTACAGCCTGCTCGAACGGTGAGAGCGCATCATCCAGCGAAGAAAATTGTATCCCTTTGATCTGATTTTTTATTTTTGGGAATTAGAAGAAGTCACACGGTGCTAGGTCAGGGCTGTAAGGAGAGTGACCCAGGAGTTTGACCGGTGTGCTATCTAGGAAGTCCCTCGTTTTGATTGCGGTGTGGGCGGGTGCATTATCGTGGGGGAGTAGTAGTCCGCGGAGCCCTGTGTTTGGTCGCTTGTTGCTCAAAACAGAGAAAACTTCTGCCAAGCATTTGATAGTATACCATTAGGCGTTAATGCTTCTTTGGTTTCGTAAAGGAGTTGACACCAAGTAGCCAGCCAAATCAAAAAAGCTCGCGATCAAAATCTTTCTCCTCTTCTAAGTCGCTTTACTTTGGTAGGCGTTGATTCGTTTTGAAACACCCAAACCATCGACTGGCGCTTTGTTTCTGGATCGTATTGATAAATCCAGGATTAATCACCTGAAACGATATCGTAAACACGCCAAGACGAGCCTGCTTCAAATTTGTCTATCATATAATGGCACCATTCCACCCTTGCCTGCTTCTGACCATCGGTAAGGTTGTGGGGCACCCAGCGTGAAACAATCCTCCGCACCCGTAGATGCACATGTAGAATCTCGTGAAGGCTTCTTGATCCAATCTGCAGTATATGCTGAATCTCTTGGTATGTAACCAAGACATTTAGCATATACTGCAGATTGGAGAATCAAAATGAGGGCATCCTTCTTATTGAAATCGGCATAAATAGTCAATACTGTTCATGGCATTAATCATAAGATCACATGCTTTGCTCGTCAAATTGGAAACACGAGGCCACAGTATGTGTACATATGTATTATACAGTTATTTGAACGTTTCTGGTTCTGTCAATTTAGTAAATATGTTAAACGGTTTCAATTGACGAACCACAACTCCGCCCAACCTCGATGGTGAGACAAAACTAACGGCAAACAATCTGACGGTGGGCCGTCAGATTCAGTAGTATCCGTCATGGACAGTAGTAACCGTCGCCTAAAGACATGAACAGTCGGAATCAGACGGTTACCACTTTCCATCAGGTGGGTCGTCAGCTTATTTGCCATTCTAAGTTGTATAAAAGAAAAGATATTATAAGTGTGACCACGCGTGAATTTATTATTGTTGGTTGTTGTATTTTATTCTGTTCTAAACTTTAATGACGAATTAAAGTTTAGAACTGTATAAATGCAAAATGATTGATGTTATGTAATTGTATTTTATGCTCGATGTATGGGCAGGCTGTGTAAATTTCCTTTAAAACATTATGAACATCTTACGATTTAACATAATGTACAAATATTAGGTCCTTACATATGACATTGGCGTTTTGTACGGGAGGAATATAAAGTCTTTTTTTTTGTAAAATATATTTAATTAATCAAAGTATACACTCTTGTTATCTATGCACTTTTTCTATTTCATAGGTAGTTCATTGATCCCATTACTAAAAAAAAACATGGGGGCGAGAATCAATAAACTTTTTGGCGGATTGGACTGCCACATCGGAATTGAATTTTTTTCCTTGTAAGAAGTTGCCCAAATTCAGGAAAAAATGGTAATCTTTTGGAGGAAGGTCCGGGGAGTACGGTGGATGTCGGAGACATTCCAATTGTAGCTCATCTAACTTAGTGGTTGTTTGTTGTGTGTATGATCGTGCGTTGTCGCGAAGCAGCAGTGGCCTTGAGCGATTGGCCAATCTCGGTTGTTTGGCAGCTAGTTCTTTCTTCATAGTTTGCAGTTGCTGTCTTGTTTATATGTATAATACATGCATAATATTGTAAAGAAACATTGATAAATTTTGGGATTTCTAATCTGATGTCGTAAATAAACAAATTACAAACGCTGGCTGAACGCGAGATAAATCAAAATTAAACCCCGTCGCGTAACTTAAAAGCTAATTTAAAAGAGAAAGATTCTCGAGTGGCAACTTCATATAGAAAAATGCAATAGAGGACAACACCCCACTAGATGGAGCGGCAATCTTAAAAAAATGCATACAGTGGCTCGAGACCATCTCCTATGGCAGTCTATGGCACAGACGTATGTTCAGCAGTAGACAGGTAACAGCTGATATAAAGATGACGAAAATTATATTTGCGCTCCATTAAAGAAATCTTTTAAATATTTCCTTATAAGTTATGAAGTATAAAATAAAATTCCGATAATAAGAATATATGACAATTTATATTTGTTCTTACAATAAAATGCTTAAATGTAAATTAGGAATTCCTTAAGACTACATCAGTCATAACATATTATTTTATATGTAACTTACAAGTTCAATAAAGAATATATATATATATATATATATATATATATATATATATATATAAAACTAACTACTAACTAAAAATATCATAAAACATCTTTCGATCCGGCGTAATCACTTCTCTTAGATTTTGCGTCGGAATTTGCAATTCTTACACGTATTGTTATAGACATTGATTTATTTTCATTCCAATAGAAAATTTGCACATCGCCTTTTCTACCATACGTGTTGTTTTCTTTACAATTGCCTTGATGACGAATGATTGGGTGTAGAGCTTTATTAGTGCGCAGAATTAACTATTATTAAATTTCGATATCTGTTCTGCTATACATCCTAACTTTTATCTCATAACATCAACTTGGAAATGATGTTTGCAAATAATGATTTTTAGGATAAAAGCGCACTTATGATTGAGTAGTATATATCTGTACTTAGTTCTACGGCAAGCATGTTTCTTGAACATAGTACAAAAAATTTTCGATAGAGATTTTTATCTCCTGAGATTACATAGCAGTTATGTCGTGAGTCGACTTAATACGTGCCAAAAATTCTTTGAACGGAATAGAAAAGTAATGTACTGTTACAGTACACATCACAGTAAAACAAACTTACGATCCGACGTAATTCTAGAAGATTCTGTATCCCACTCTGCGATTCTTACACGAATTTTTATAGACATTGCTTTTTTTTAATTCCAATAGAAAATAGTTCCATTGCACATCGATTTTCTACCATACTTGTTGTTTTCAATTAATTGTCTTGATGACGAATGAAAAGTAATGTGCTGTTACAGTACACATCACAGTAAAACAAACTTACGATCCGACGTAATCGCTTCTCGAAGATTCTGTATCTCACTCTGCGATTCTTACTCGAATTGTTATAGACATTGCTTTTTTGAATTCTGATAGAAAATTGTTCCATTGCATATCGACTTTTCTACCACACGTGTTGTTTTCTATACAAATAATTGTCTTGATGACGAATGATTGGGTGTAGAGCTTTATTAGTGCGCAGAACTGACTATTATTCAATTACGATTTCTGTTCCGCTATACATCCTAGCTTTTATCGTATAACGTCAACTCGGAAATGATGTTTGCAAATAATGATTTTTAGGATAAAAGCGCTCTTATAACTGAGTAGTATATATCTGTATTTAGTTCTACGGCGAGCATATTTTATTAACATAGCACAAAAGCTTTCGATAAGGATTTTTATCTCCTGAGAGAATATGGCAGTTATGTCGTATGTCGACTCAATACGTGCCAATAATTCTTTGAACGGAATAGAAAAGTAATGTGCTGTTACAGTACACATCACAGTAAAACAAACTTACGATCCGACGTAATCGCTTCTCAAAGATTCTGTATCCCACTCTGCGGTTCTTACTCGAATTGTTATAGACATTTCTTTTTTGAATTCCAATAGAAAATTGTTCCATTGCACATCGACTTTTCTACCACACGTGTTGTTTTCTATACAATTTATTGTCTTGATGACGAATGACTGGGTGTAGAGCTTTATCAGTGCGCAGAATTGACTATTATTCAATTATGATTTCTATTCTGCTATACATTCTTGCTTTTTTCTCATAACGTCAACTCGGAAATGATGTCTGCAAATAATGATTTTTGTAATAAGAGCGTTCTTGTGATTGAGAAATATATATCTGTATTTAGTTCTACGGCGAGCAGGTTTCTTGAACATAGCACAAAAATTTTCGATAGGGATTGTTATTTCCTGAGAAAAAATATGGATTTTTTTGTTGTTGACTC